AACATATAAGCCTCCTTACTTCACTTTGTATTTCACTTTGAACCTTATATGAAATTTGAGAGCCAAGAGCCGAATTTCCTTTTCAAAGTCTTCTTGAGAATTCACCTCAAAAACCTAAGGAGTTCATCTTCTTCCTTCTCTTTGAAGTGAGTCTTCCATTGATCTTTGAGCTTGGATGCTTCCATCCAAGGCTTGAACCTTCATCCATCCGTGTTCCTCCTTCAATTAAGTTCCATTTCATTCGGTGATATCTCCTTAAAGAGGATCCGTGGCTAGGAGGAGCTAAGGAGAAGAACATTCATCACTTCTCCCTACTTCTTCCATCACGGGTTCTTAGAACACCCAGTGCAATCAAGAAAAAGGCCCATAGAAAACAGTTTGTTTCTCAAAAGCCTTACCACAAGCCTTATAATAATTATAAAAAGCCTTATAAAAAATCCTTTAAGAATTACCCTAAGAGAGGATGGTTTTCAAGGATTTTGGAAAGAAAGGTTCATAGCAGGATTACCAAAACTATTTTCTGAAAAAGTCAAAATAAAAAACTCATTATCCAAAAACAAGAACATATTATCCTAGACCTTCTCCAGCAGATGTTCTTTATGAAGAACGAGGAGAATATGTACAAAATAGTTATTCAGGAAGTGAAATGATTGAATGGAATATAGATGGTATGAGTGAACAAAGTTTATTAGATTATATTTGTATGATGTCAATGGCCGCCAGTGCCTAGAAGAGAAGAGGAAACTCAGATAAAGCCACAGCCTTAATTATAGTCCAAGGATTTACTGGCCAACTTAAAGGTTGGTGGGATAATTTTTGGACACCAGTAAAACTAGAAACTGGTGAAAAGGATGCAGTTGCAACAACAATAGATAATAAAATTATTATTTCAGAATATCCCCCTATGACTACTGTTAAAATAGAAGTAGAAAAACAAGAAATAGAGGCAAGTCCTTACAAAACTATTAATGAATCAGAACAAGAAATTAATAAAAAAGATATTAAAAAACTTCATAATCAATTAAATTTTTCTAATAGTATGTTAGAAACTTTGTCAAAACAATTAACAAGAATAGAAGATAAAGAAATTCCTTCCTCAAGTAGTAGTAGTATAGTCTCAAGTATTCCAAAACCATTAGTAAAACCAATATATCAGTTAAATACCCATATAGATTCATTAAAATTAGGAAGTGAAAGTGAAGAAAAAATTGAAGAAATTAAAGATCTATTATCAAAATTGACCTTAGGAAAACCTTCAATAAACACCATAGACACAAATGATTTTACAGTTAATAAAATTAAAACTCATTATCCAAAAACAAGAACATATTTCTTTGATTGGTTTAAAGACTATTACAAAGAAAATAATATTATTAAATCAATAAATCCTTTAGTAAAAACAAATAAAACTTGGAAAACAATAGATAATAAAATTATTATTTCAGAATATCCCCCTATGACTACTGTTAAAATAGAAGTAGAAAAACAAGAAATAGAGGCAAGTCCTTACAAAACTATTAATGAATCAGAACAAGAAATTAATAAAAAAGATATTAAAAAACTTCATAATCAATTAAATTTTTCTAATAGTATGTTAGAAACTTTGTCAAAACAATTAACAAGAATAGAAGATAAAGAAATTCTTTCCTCAAGTAGTAGTAATATAGTCTCAAGTATTCCAAAACCATTAGTAAAACCAATATATCAGTTAAATACCCATATAGATTCATTAAAATTAGGAAGTGAAAGTGAAGAAAAAATTGAAGAAATTAAAGATCTATTATCAAAATTGACCTTAGGAAAACCTTCAATAAACACCATAGACACAGATGATTTTACAGTTAATAAAATTAAAACTCATTATCCAAAAACAAGAACATATTATCCTAGACCTTCTCCAGCAGATGTTCTTTATGAAGAACGAGGAGAATATGTACAAAATAGTTATTCAGGAAGTGAAATGATTGAATGGAATATAGATGGTATGAGTGAACAAAGTTTATTAGATTATATTTGTATGATGTCAATGGCCGCCAGTGCCTACAAATAACAGAAATAGAGAGGCGGCTAAGAAACATGAATTTCTGTGTATATTGATTACCAATGATTACAGTTTATATAGTCTGTACAAAAGGATGGAATGACCTAAAGGAATAAAGCATATTCTGTACAATATATGACAGCGCATTATTGCTGTAAAATGGTCACTAAAATAAGAAGGAAAAGAGGAAAAATAACAGAAAGATCCTTCGTTGTGCTGTCATGTAATTTGTGCTGTGCTGTTATACGGTTCTGCTGTTATGAATGACTTGGGGGCAACTAGAATACTTTTTAGGAATTGAGGTAGCAAAATCAAAATAGGGGATCGTTCTCTCACAGCAAAAATATGCATTAGATCTTTTGACAAAAATTGGTATGTTTTCTTGCAAACCAATAGAAACCCCCATATAGAAATGAATCATAAGCTTGGAATTTTCTCAAATCCCTATAGATAAGGATCTTTACCAACGATTGGCTGGGAGACTCATTTATTTGTCCCATACACGATCGAACATAACTTATGTTGTAAGTATTGTAAGTCAGTTCATGCATTCACCTAATGAAAAGCATATGAATATTGTTGTTTATTGAATTTTAATATAGCATTTGAAATGCTCCAGACAAAGGATTTTTGTTCTAAAAAAATGTTGTCCCAAACATTAAAGGAAGTATTGATTTTGATTGGACAGATGACCAACTAGAAGATCTACATTGGCATATTTTACCTTTGTTGAGGGTAATTTTGTCACTTGGAGAAGTAAGAAGCAAAAGGTTGTAGTAAGATCAAATGCAAAAGTTGAGTTTTGTGGTATAGCCCATGGTGTGTGAATTATTGGGGATTAAAAGTGTTCTAAAGGACTTGGGGATCAAGTATGTAGAGCCAATGTAATATTCCAATTTTTTTTAGACAATGTTTAATTATATTATTATAATTGTTTTTAATTTATTTTTAATATTTTAGTAAATAAAATGAATCTATAAAATAATACTAAATTTCTAATTGTAATATTTTTAAATTTTTATTACAAAGTTTTAAATTTTAATATTTTAGAATTTTCAGTATTATATTTTAATATGATAAAAAAATGGTAAATTTCTAGCTAAAAAAATTGCATTGAATGTACGGATAAGCCATGTAGTGAAACTTGTCCTCTGGTAAAGAAAAATTTATCTGTAAGAAAACAATGGTCAGAAACCAAATGAAAAAGAAAAAAAAAATCATTACATAGAAACTAGGTAATGATTACAAAGGTTAATTAGTTATGAACAGAGATAGAGATGTGTAGAATGAGGAGAGGAATTGAACAAAAGCATGAGAGGTTTGCGAGAAGAGGAATACCAATTGTGAGAGCTTATTTTGTCTCTAAAGTCTACTTTTAAGTATTAAGATAAGGGGGAGAAGACTTTTATCTTTTAAATTTTTTATATTATTATATTTATTTATTTTATGTTATATTTTTGTATATTTTTAGTGAGATGTCTCTAACCTTATCCACTTGTTTAATGTATGATACTTTTAACTCTAAATAACTAATAAAGTATTCCTAATTTATGTTGTTTAATTATTCTATGATATTTACAACTGCCATTTAACTAGTTTAATATTCTTAAACACATCTCATTTCTATAAACTATATTGTACTAAATTTTAAATAATTAT